ATTTCTCATTTGATTCCATTAAGGACAGAGACATAACTCTGTATGAGTTCAGTTCTTTTAAGTTTGTTAAGATTTGTTTTATGACACAGGATATATTCTGTCTTGGTCTATGTTCTGTAGGTACTTGAAAAAAATGTGTATTCTACTCTTGTTGGATAGAGTGATTTTAAATCTTGTTTAGATTCTATTGTTTGATGGTTGTGGAGTTCTTCTGCATTCTTGCTGACTTTGTGTGTAGTATCTATTAATTGTTGAGAGAATTGTAGATTTGTCTGTTTCTCCTTAAAGGTCTCTCAGTTTTGCTTCATGTATTTTTTAGCTCTATTGTTTGGTGCATACACATTTAGGATATGTCTTATTGGTGAGTTGAAACTTTTGTCATTATTTTGGCCCTTTCTCTCACTGGTAATTTTCTTTTTTCTGAAGTCTATTTTATCTTATCTTAATACAGTCACTCTAGCTTTCCTTTGATAATGCTTGTTTGGCATATCCATTTCTATCCTTTTATTTTCATTGTGTCTATATCTTTTTCTTTGAAGTGGGAGTCTTGTAGGCAATGTATAGGTGAATCATATTTTTCAATCAACTTTACCAACCACTTTCTTTTAATTGGTATTTTTTTTTAAATTTTTTTTTTCAACGTTTATTTATTTTTGGGACAGAGAGAGACAGAGCATGAACGGGGGAGGGGCAGAGAGAGAGGGAGACACAGAATCGGAAGCAGGCTCCAGGCTCTGAGCCATCCGCCCAGAGCCTGACGCGGGGCTTGAACTCACGGACCGCAAGATCATGACCTGGCTGAAGTCGGACGCTTAACCAACTGCGCCACCCAGGCGCCCCGGTATTTTTTTACATTAATGTAATTTTTTATATGTTAGAGCTAATCCTACCACTTTTTATTTGTTTTCTGTTCACTCTGTTTTTCATTCTTCTTTTTTCATTCTTGTGTTTTTTTTTTTCTCTGCCTTCCTGTGGATTACTACTTGAACATTTTTTAGTTTTATCTGTAGTGTCACTGGAACACCTATAGAATTGCATGTAATTTTTCTGTAGTGTCAAAGACACATTGTGTCCATAGTGGTTTTTTTTTTAATTTTTCTATGATATTTTATATGGCATTTTTAGTGGTTGCTCTAGGTATTAGATTATATATACATAATTTACCACAATCTACTGGTATTGTCTTTTTACCAGGACAAGCAGAGTAGAAACTGTGCCTCCCTTTATGTCACTTTACCCTCTTTCCTTTACAATACACTTGTCGTAAATATATTCTCTACATACATTTAAAACCTCATGAAACAATGGTGTAGTTTTTGCTTCCACAATCAAACATAATTTAGGAACTCAAGAGAAGGAAAGCCTGTTGTACTCAGGTTTTTGCTTATTCTATTCTTTCTTCTTGATGTTCCAGTGTTCCTTCTTTTATCATTTCCTTTCCATTTAAGGAATTTTCTTTAGCCATTCTTCTAGGGTCTGTCTGCTGGTGACGAATCCTTTTAATTTTTCCTTATCTGAGAATGTCTTAATTTCTCCTTCATTCCTGAATAATATTTTTACTGGGTAGAGGATTCCAGGTTGACATTTCTTTCGGCATTTAAAAAATGGCCACTTCTTTCTGTCTTCCATGCTTTCTAATAAGAAATCTGCTTTCATTCTAATTGTTTCATTCATATAAGTAATACATTATTTTTCTCTGGCTGTTTTCAAGATTTTTTTTTTCATTAGTTTTCAAAAGTTTAATTTTCATATCTCGATATGGATTTCAAGTACTTTTTAAGCCCCTCCTTCTTTATACTCTTTATGTCTCCAGTGACACAAATATTGTATCTTGTGTTACTATCCCACAGATCCCCAAGTCTCATTCCTTTTCTTTAAATCTGTTTCTTCTCCATTGCTCAGATTGGGTGATTTCTATTGTTCTGTTTTCCCATTCAGTGATATTTCTATTCAGTGCTTTGCATTCTGCTATTGAGCCCATCCACTGAGTGTTTTAATTCCATTTATTGTCATTTTAGTTCTAAAATTTTTATTTGGTTCTTTGGATTTTGTCCCATTTTGGGGGGCTTTCATATTTTTTTCACTTCTTTCAAGCATTTTGATTCTTAGAAACATTTTTATGATGACTATTTAAAATCTTTTTTAGATTATTTTAAAAATAATCTCATTGTGGTGTTGTTATATTGATTGTTTCATTTTTCATTCAATTTAAGATCTCTGGACTTTGATGAGTTCTTTTCAACCAAAATTTGGACATGTTTATATTGTATTATGAAACGTTAGCTTTCTTTTTAAAAAAAATTTTTTTTTTTCAACGTTTATTTATTTTTGGGACAGAGAGAGACAGAGCATGAACGGGGGAGGGGCAGAGAGAGAGGAAGACACAGAATCGGAAACAGGCTCCAGGCTCTGAGCCATCAGCCCAGAGCCCGACGCGGGGCTCGAACTCACGGACCGCGAGATCGTGACCTGGCTGAAGTCGGAGGCTTAACCGACTGCGCCACCCAGGCGCCCCTGAAACGTTGGCTTTCCTTAAACCTTGTCTTTTATATGATTTTCTTTGGTACCACCCCAGAAGAGAAAGTGACTTTTTATTGCCAGGGGGAGACAGAGGTTCTGTTTCTCCACTTAGGTTCTGCCAACACTCAAAGTGGTCATGGCTTCTTGTTACTGCTGGGTGAGGGGATTAGTTCCAGCTCCCCATTGGTATCTCATGGTGGGAGTGGTCTTGTTACTTACTACTGGGTGATGATGAGTGCCCCGACTTTCTTACATATATTCTGACATCATTTCAGCATAGATGGGAGGGGTACCTCATTACTACTGGCTGGCAGCAGAAGTCAAGGCTTCCCAAGTGGTCTTTATTGACACTATTAGTGGAGATCTCTTTACTGGGTAGTGATAAAGGTCCTGGTTACCTACTTAGACTACTCATGCTGAGGAATTGGGAGATCTTATCACAGCTTGATAAGGGGGAATGTCTAGGTTCCTCACTCAGAGTCTGCTGACATGGGTGGGGGTTGTGCCAGTTTTTTCTGTGGTGTTCAGCTTGAGTAAGGGCAGTTGTTACCTACAACCTATCTGTCACTAGGCTGTCTCTGTTTTGGTCTTTAGGCTAGAGAAATCTTTTTATCTGTACCTGTATTGACATTGCCAAAGCTGCCATCTTCTTCAGCTCCAAGTCTGGGCTAAAGGAAGCAAGAATTCCACAGAACTCACTCCCGTGTCTTTCTCTGGATTTCAAGATCCATAGCTAGTCTGTCTTGTTTCTACTTTAAAGTTGTTGTTGTTTTTAAGTTTACTTATTTATTTTGAGAGAGAGAGCACAAGCAGGGGAGGAGCAGAAAGAGAGAGAATCCCAAGCAGGCTTCGCACTGCTAGCTCATAGCCTGACAGGTGGCTCAAATCCATGAACTGTGAGATCATGACCTGAGCCGAATTCAAGAGTTGGGCACTCAACTGACTGATCCACCCAGGGACCCCTACTTTTCAGTTTTTATGTTTGTTTTTACAATGTCTGGTATTTTTAGTTGAACTTACTGGGAGAAATAGGAAAAGTACACTTGCTCCTCTTCCCAGAAGCAGAAGTCCAACTCCCTTTTTTTCTGTGCAACTGATTTTTGACAAATATGAAATAAGTTGCAAAATATTATACATGCCACTGTATTTATATGCCATATAAAATATCACTTATCCATCTTTCAAAAAAGAGAAAAACTTGGGACTTATTTGTAACTATTTTGTATAAGTGATTGTATGTGCATATTTGGTTGTATGGAGAGCAAGCTTAACAGAAAACACACCAAATTGTGTATTTCAGAAACAAGTTAGTAGTATATATTCTTTCCTTCTAGGGTACCAATGACATTAAATATTATTAGATTTCTTTACAGTCCTGTGATCTTAACATCCTAGAATACCATAATCCTCATTTTGTTTGAAAAAGAAAAATTTAAACACCTGTATTTGAAGGGTACCAGGTTAGCTCAGTCAGTATATCATGCAACTCTTGATCTCAGGGTTATGGGTTCAAGCCCCGTCAGGCTAGGCATGGAGCCTACTTTAAAAAAAAAAAAAAAAAAAAAAGGCTGTATTTGATTGTATTGTTTTGTTTTTTAAGACCTGAAATAGTACCCACCAAACTGTTGACATTGATTTGGTGTAGGAATTAGCAGTGGAGTACTTGAATTTTTTATTTAATGTACCTAGTAGTAGTTGAAATTTTTATAAAAAGCATGTAATATTTTTATAAGCTTCTCAATAAATAAAAATAATTAGTGGACCTTGAGGGTATTAAGCTAAGTGAAATAAGTCAGAGAAGGACAAGTACTATATGATTTCACTTATATGTGAAATCTAAAAAAGAAACAAACACATAAAAAAGCCAAGCTCAGAGATAAAGGAAAAAGATTTGTGGTTGTTAGAGGCAGGTGATAAGGCTGGTCAAGGAGTACCGGGGTGCCTGGCTGGCTCAGTGGATAGAATATGGACACTTGATCTCATGGTTGTAGGTTTGAGTCTCATGTTGGGTGGAGAGATTATTTAAAAACAAAATATTTAAAAAATAAATAAAAGAGGTACAAACTTCCAGTTATAAATAAGTCATGGGATTGTAATGTATAGCATGTTGACTGTAGTTAATAGTACTGTATTGTATGTTTGAAAGTTGCTAAGAGGGTAGATCCTAAAAGTCCTCATCACAAGAAAAAAATGTTGTTGGTATGTATGTAACATGGTGACAGATGTTAACTCGACTTACAGCAAATATTTTGGAATGTGTACAAATATCAAACCATTATGTTGTATGCCTGAAAATAAACAATGTTATATGTCAATTTATACCTCAATTTGAAAAACAAGAAAGGAGAAACTGTTACAAGAGAAGTGCAGTATCCTAACCAATAAAATTCATCAACCAGTAACCAAAGTGGAAAAACTGTATACATACCATATTAGTGTGCAGATTCATGGTGTCCTGATTCTTTCCCCTCAATACACAGGAGTAAATGAAGAAGAGGAGAAGAAAAAAGCAAAAAGCAAAGAGAAAATCAAGTTGAAAAAAAAAAGAAAAAGGTATTTTTTTAACATCATTGTTTTTTAAAAGCAGGACTGTGAATCCCAGATGGATTATAAAATTTAATATTTTGTGTGTAGTCCAGTTAATTTAACACTAATTCTTTCCTTAATGGGGATCAGATATTCAGTTGTTTCAGTAAAATAATAGTCCTTGAGGAATCAAAACTCAAGTCAATACTCAGCCACCTTGAATTTTTTTTCTTGGAGCAAATTAAGGTATAAATAAATAATAGCCCCCCCCCTTCTTTTATGTACTCTATTTGTGTTCTAGAATTTAGAGTTTAAAACATCAGCCACACTTTTAATTGGATGATGTCTAAATTCTTTACATATATATTTTGTCCTCATATGTATAAAGTTGGGACTTAAGTATTTGTATTCTCAAAATATCATTGCAGTGGCTACAAAGTTATTAATAGGATTTACGTACCCACTTATTCTAAAAATTCATTCAGGTCTTTCAGAACCCACATCAGCCACCAATGAATTTTTAGTATCAGCTCTTTTAACAACTAACTGGTTAAAGCAATTGATCACGAGAATTAAGAAGCAGCTTCTTTTATGGTTAACAAGTACAGTTTCATATATACTAGAATAAACATATATATACAGATGTCTTTTAAGGTATTTGACAATAATAATGTCTGACTTGGACCCTAGTTCTCTAATAGAGTAAGTTCTGAAAATCAGGTGTTACTTCATAGAGCATTTAATACATACCTTTCAACACCTCAGCTACTTCATAATTTAGAAAAGTTCATTTTCTCTCAAGTGTTGGGAGTCAAATAATATTTAACATAAAAGCTAATAGGAAGATAGAGGTCAGTGTATTTTATAGTCGGACTAATGTATTGTTGAATCATTTGCATTAGCACAGCAAGGATTGTGTATAGACAAAATGAAATTATCTGTTTTCTTCCAAATTCTAAGATACTTGTTTTATTGTAACAGATTATTTATTTGAGCCTCTCTACTTTGGGTCTCACAGACCTCAGACAGGGCCTGAAATTAAATGAACTTTTCTAGTCATACTCAGCAGAGATTTTGCCACCTCTTGGAGTTGTTATGTGCAAGTCTAACACCGGGCCTTAAAAATTAAAATCCAGGACCAAAAAGCCAAAGAAAAATGTACAAACAAGCTCTACTCAGAATCCAGAGGTCAAGTAGGGTCTTTAAAACAGGAAAACAGGCAAGAGTTGACAATAACAGAGATGAAGAGGGAATAAGAGAATACATGAGAAAATAAGACCAGGAAACAGCCAGAAGTCTAAGTAAGACAAAATGGAGAAAGAAATACAGCATTACAGAAATGAGGGAAAACTCGGAGTTTCTAAACAAGAAATTCAGTCAAGTAATTCATGAGAATCACTGACAGACACAGACTTGAAGTCTCATGCATTTATTTCTTGCTTACTGTAGGTCTGTGTCAGGTTTTCTTAGTTTGGGCTTTAACTTCTAACGGTTAGCTCACTACTACCTTTTTAGAAAGCTGTCTTTTTGGGGGCGCCTGAGTGACTCAGTCGGTTAAGCAACTGACTTCAGCTCAGGTCATGATCTTGCAGTTTGTGCCTTTGAGCCCCTCATTGGTCTCTGGGCTGACAGCTCAGAGCCTGGAACCTGCTTCCAATTCTGTGTCTCCCTCTTTCTCTGCCACTCCCCTGCTCACGCTCTGTCTTTCAAAACTGAATAAACATCAAAACAAAAAAAAGTGTCTTTTTATTTTTTATTTTTAATTGACTCAGTTTCTGTCTTCTGACACATTTAGAGTTTGGGTGTGGGGAGATTGTTGTATACCTACTTATATAAGATCTTAAGAGATGGCTTTTCTGTTTTTTGTTACTTTTCTCTTTTTTAATACTAGAGGAAGGAATTGCGTAGGTTTTTTTCCAAATCTAGTATTAGAGGAATATTAGAAAAATAAAGAATAATGATAAATCATCTTCATTTACTTGTATGCATTTAAAACATCTCTTTTTGTAACTAGTGAAAATTACTTTGGAATGCAAGTGCTCATCTGTATCACTTGAACAGGAATTTAACAGAAGTCCTTTTATTTAGCTAATTTTCAGCTTTCCCCCCTTTTTTACCAACGTACTAATATAGCCCTTTTTACATAATTGCATCCTTTTTAGCTCTTTTAAGAGAATATGCTAACAAGTTATTGTGTATGTAAATGAATTGTATATATGATAAAGGCTTGGTAAATACCACTTTGTTTACCTTATAAGATTTTGAAGGGTACAACAGGATGAAAAGCTGAAAATCACAGAAAAATTATTGCATCCTTACTGAGTTTAAAACTTAATACTAGAGTTGAGCAAAATAGAGTTATTTGTTTTGTCAGCTTCTATGACCAAGGAGCAAAAATTCTGAAGTCTGTATTTTAAGAGAATACAAATATATAAAGCACATTTCGAGTTTCTTTGTTTATACCCCACTTTGCTCCAAGAATGATTTCAGGCAGTTAAATCCCATTTCAATTTAGCTATTAGCCATAAATGCAGTTATCAGTCAGTCTCTATTATTGCCCATAGGTCTTATTCATCCAGTTCCACTGAAGAGGACACTTCAAAACAAAAGAAACAAAAATATCAGAAGAAAGAAAAGAAAAAAGAAAAAAGAATAAGTCAAAAAGGGGGAAACACCACAAAAAGGAAAAAAAGAAGAGAAAAAAGGAAAAGCATTCTTCCACCCCTAATCCTTCTGAGATCTGCAAAAAGTAACTGAATCTTCAGCCTAAGCCATTAAATTTTAAAATTTGGTTTTAGAAATTATTTGACCTTCCTTGGAATTTGCTATATAATCATGCTTTGCAATAAATCACAGCCTTTTCCATATAGACATTTTTTTCGTATATATATGGGACCATTGTCTTCTGGCAATAGATTTTTAATGTGCTGACTATAAAGTATTGAATCAGTCTTATTACTTGATAGCCACACCCCAAATATAGATATTTATACATACAAAACACATCATTTTTGGTATTCATGACTGTGTCTGACTAGTGTTGTTACTTTATAAGTTGATTGTAAATGGCTTTACTCCAGTCAACACAGGTAATCTACCTAGCAGTTAATGAGTATTGCTCAATCAAGTGTCCACCTTCCAGTGATAAAATGAGGTAGGGGATAATGCTTTGCTCTTGACTCTGAAAAACTTAATAGCTTTATTTCCTATGGTAATGTATAAAGATAGTGAAGTTTTTCACTGTCATTTTTAAATCTTGAAACTTTTTTGGATGTCATAGGAAATGAAGCTGCTTCACTGGTCTTAACTAGGACATTTTAAGCGAATGGTGTTGGCAAGAAGATAATGAAAATACTTATAAGGAAGTTTTACTGTTACATGAAATGCAGAGTGTCTAGTACCTGCCTCCTCTGTTATTGTAACAATTAAAATTCTCTTCCTCTTTTAAAAAGACAAGCATAGTCCAGCCTCTCAGAGTCTTGCAGAGATGATGCTGTGTTGGGTAGAATATTTAGGATAGACTCCTGGGTTGTTTTACAAATGTGCCATATTGGCATCTCTTAAAGTGATACCTCAAACACAGAACTTTTTAATTAGGAGGATGACAGCTAAATCATTATTAGAACTGATTTTTATTGTATTCTGTATGTAAATTTTATGAAGCTTGTTTCTATGAGTAATGTGGAAATTTTTTATAAATGTGAACATATATATTTATTTGTCTAAAATAATTTGTAGTTTTGAAGCAGGTTTCACACTGAATTTATGGTTTCAAAAATGACCAGTTTGGGGTGTTTCTCTCTTTTACTTCATTCTTAGACCTTAAGAGCAGTGACAAAAATTTAGGGTTAAGAATTTTATTCTGTACTTTTTAAAATATAAGAGCCAGGGAGTTGCATCATGAAAGCCTTTATATAACAATGAAAATTTTATATGAGTAAGCATTTTCAAGCATATATCAGTAGATATAAATGTTTCTTACACTTAATTTCACAATGATCAGTGTTACTTACTTTGCTTGATATTTGGATATCCCTTACGCCCAGTGAGTTAAGCACTTAGCAGCATCAAACATCAATCACTTATCATGGCACAGCACCAAAGATTGCATGTACTCACTGTGGTGCAGTTATAAATTTTCAGATTACTAACCTACAGACATGGCTTCAGGCAAATTCATTATGGTGAAACCAGGTAAGTACATGTAACCTCACAAGCTGGAAAAATGTACTGATTCTTTCTTCATCCAGCTCCCCTTGCTCACATGACCTCACTCACACTGGGGGAGCTCACAGCTCCTCGTAATATCTGCTTACCATGCTGGGATCTAGGGAAGCTACACCCATATCCCTCTTCTAGCTTTATAGCTGAGGAAGCTTTCACTCTTCTAGCTTTTCCATCACCTAATTTCGTCATATGGCCTCTTCAGAAAGAAACTCTTTTGTTTAAATAGTTTAGTCAGGTGTTGAGAGAGAAACATAGAGTTATTAAGTTATTACATTTTTAACTGTTTGTTTGGCCTTTGCTGTATTTTCAGTATTTTTTTAGCTGTATTTTCTGAAAATACGGTTCTTTCATTATAATGAAAAAAATAAAAAACTTAAAAATGATAGGAAAATGCTGCATGCACAAGGATGGCCTCATCCCATTTTAACATGGTTAAAAATGCTAATAATTATAGTGAAACAAAAGTAATCTAAAGTTATTTGTGAGTTTTATTTCTGTTAATCGTAGAGATTATAAATTGGCTCATTAGACTTGTGTTCTGAATGGGAACACAATTGATAATGGTCCAAAAGAGTTACATAAAATTCAGCACCATTAACTAATACAGTGTACAAATTAAAAAATTTTATTGCTCAGTAATTTTGTCCCCTAGATACATTCTTGGAATTATTCTTGAGTAAATTCCCCATAGTATGAGAATAGTTTATAAAACCTGTCATCTGAATAAAATTTATTTCTTTTTACTGGTTTTCTTGTAAAGTGAACTTGTTGGGATTGGATACAAATCTCACTAATAAATTTTAGGAGAAAATTAGTGAGATTTTCTATGAGGCAGTATGTACGTAGCAGAAGGAAAACTGAACTTAATAGTAAAAATCCAAAAAGTCCTGGCCTTTCTAACTACCTTCGTCACTTTCAACTAAATTATTTAGCTTCTCTGGGCCTTGGTGTATTTGATCTGTAATATATTATACCCAATTATCTCTGAGAACCCTTCCAGTCCTTAATGTATATGATTATCAATATGTTAGTGTAATTCAAGTAATATTATTCATTTTAGAAATTGCTGTAGGTAGGCAGGTAGCATTCTGTATTGGTAAAGGTTGAATTTATTAATATACCTGTTAAACACATTCAACTTCTTTAAGCAGGTAATTGATATTTGGTTTACATTCTTAGCAACCAGTGTATGTCTTTTTCATCAGATGCATATAGATTTTATGTTTAGATTTGTATCTGTAACCTGATTGTCTAAATACTCAGGCTATTGCCTTTGGGCTGATGGATCCACTCCGCACAAAATTCCCTGTTTCTTTTCTCTGTATCCTCTTTTGACGAAAATCTCTCAGAGGTATCCCTAGTTCTTGCCCCTAATGTACATCTGTTCACATCTTTGGTTCTCTGAGGCCAAAACATCAATAAATAAGGAATAAAACAATTTTATGTGTCTATATTTACGGTTCACTCCGTCTAAAATTATATAACCCTAGGTCACTTTCATTTTAACTAGATTGAAGAGTTATCAATAATGTTGATAAAAATGTCATTGCTTCCTTTCTTCAGCAAACATTGACTGAGTGCCTGGCATAGCAAACGCTCTGCTAAGTACTGGGGATACAGAGATTAATAAGACTCACTTGCTTCCCTGAAGGGGTTCATAGTTTAGTTGGTGGGAGAAACAACAGAACACATCAGTGTATAATAAATCCAGTGATTGACCTGAACATGCGTTCATAAAAACACAGAAGGATACTTAACTTATTCTGGAGAAGTGAGAAAAGGCTACCTAAAGAAATGATGGCTGACTTGGATTTTGATGGAGACTGAAGATAGAACTCATGGCAGTTACAGACGAGTGGGTACTGTGAACAAAGATCACAGTAAAAAAAACTTGAGTTGTGTGTGTGTCAAGAATTACAAGCATTATGTAAGGCAGGATGTGGTAAGAATTGAGACTACCATTCTAGGTTCTCAGGAACAAGAGAACGAAGTCTTATGTTCCGTGTTTGGAAGCTTGAACTTTAATCTGTAAGCAATGAGACACCATGAGAGAGTTTTAAGGAAAGATATGGCCTTTATTGGGGTTTGGTTTCATCCACTTCAAAATCCTATTAAACAATTTTTTTCAAAGATGAAATTGCTCTCATAAGAAGACCGCATAGGGGCGCCTGAGTGGTGCAGTAGGTTAAGCGTCCGACTTCAGCCAGGTCACGATCTCACCGTCCGTGAGTTCGAGCCCCGCATCAGGCTCTGGGCTGATGGCTCAGAGCCTGGAGCCTGTTTCCGATTCTGTGTCTCCCTCTCTCTCTGCCCCTCCCCCGTTCATGCTCTGTCTCTCTCTGTCCCAAAAATAAATAAAAACGTTGAAAAAAAAATTAAAAAAAAAAAAAAAGACCGCATAGAAAATAATTTGAGCCCCTTATGTCCTGTTATTTCTACTCTTCTTCTAGACCCACTTTTCTTTCTAAGATTTGATTATTACCAAAAATTCCAGTGACTTAAGTCTTCTAAAAACACATAAAGCTACTGTGTTCTTTATCAGATACGTCCCCAGAATTACATGCATAAGTACATACTTTGAAATGTGTTTTACATTTTTAGATTATTTGTGACTGATTTAAATTCTGTCACTAGGTTAGTGACACCCAAATAAATCATCTAAAGTATATTTTTCATTGTATAGACTCGGCTGTGATTTGATAAGACGTCTTGCTTAATATGTTGTCTCAATGTGTGAAGCACCAACTGCTTCAAAGCAACAGAGACACATACCTATTGGTCCACTGGTTGAGCCCTGTGGCTCTCCCTCAGGTGACCTGGCTTGGCAGGGACTATAACTAGTACCAGTGCTGAGATTCAATCTCCCTTGGCAACCAAGGAGAGTACGCTTCTTAAGCCAGCACAATTGTAATCACACAAAACCCAGGGTCTTCTGACCATCATTTGTTGCCTCCCAACTTTTTAAAAAATGTGCAGAATGCCAGAGAATTGGGATGCCTTTCCGGGGGCACAACTCAGGACACATCCAGCCACGGCCAGCTCCTGTATGTCTCACAGGTTAAGAGGAGTTTGGGAAACCGTGAGCATTGTGCTGGCCTTGACCAATTTGTCTGCTTCTTGTTTCATTCATGGCTTCTGCGTTTGCCCTTGAACAACAAAAGTAGAACTGTACCCCTGCCTTAACTAAACTTTCTCAACCTAGGTTTTTACTTGAGGCAACATCTATAGTACTATAATTATTATCTGTGTATCAAGATAGCCAAAATGAAATCAACATAGGCAGCAGATGTGTCAATAATGATCTGGAACTATGTTCTCAGTATAGCCCCATGTAGCTATTTAAATTTGGATTAATTAAATAAAATAAAAGGTATCCTTCATTTGCTCTAGAGACATCTGAAGTGCCCAGTTGCCACAGGTGACTGGTGGCTACTATGAGCAGGGCAGACACAGAAAGAACATTTCTGTCATCACAGAAACTTCTGCTGCACAGTGCTGGTCCAGAAGATATCCCCAGTTCTTGGTAAAACTTTTGACAGCCTAATTGTCCCAAGTTTCTAACCTTTAGCCTTGCATGCCCAAGTGCAATAGGGCTTTCCTTTTTTTTTTTTTTTTTTTCCCCTCTCGGACCAGAGAAGCTGTGT